ATGGGATGGTCGAACCATGAAAGTCCTGTCCAGAAGACTTGATATCATAGGTCGCGTTCGGTATTTTTAGATAACGGACAGCAGGATCAATGGTTAAATACACTGAGCAATACAAGACTGACGCGGATAGCGCGGCATTAACATTGACAGTTTGCGTATGATAGTATTCTCCATAGATGTTTTCACCTTGACATCGATTTCAACTTTCCTAGCTCCCTTTAATGAATACAAATAAGGAACAAGAATCCCGCGCGCAAATGCACGGCCGTATGTAGGAACTAATGGTTCTTCTCCGGATAATACGTTATTTGCGGTTGTCACATTCATTACATAAAATTACTGTGAAAGGATTTTTTCGGCCTGCCCGCCTACACCCTGACTGGCCACTGAGGATGAATTCTTTACATGCTTCGATTTATCTGCATAAGCCAAGAACAATCAAAGTCAAGAAACGCAAGGTAAACGAGCCCCGCATAGAGAGCTAATAGACACATTACTTTCTACTTCACTGCGGCTGCCTCCTTTTTATACCCGTTGTCCTAACGATCATCTTTAGCCTCCTTCCAACCACTGCCTGCCTCAGCAAGCACGGTATTCTTGCACGATTGCCCGAAACTGCCTAAACCTCGTATTGAGGTTGTCTCACCAAACGCGTACAGCAAAGTGTAAACAGTGGTGCATTGACGGCAATGGTCTGTCTTGCTCGTTATCTGGTAAGGGCCGCTTCCCAAAGCCACATAGAAGAACCCGTGATAGCTGCCGCATACACTCGTTCCTTCATAGAAATCCATAATTGGCGGCGATCATAGGACACTCCCCTACGCAGCAGGGGCACAGAAACAGCCTCCCAGAGTACATTTCTCCCTTAGACACTCAGTCATAAACCCCAGAGACTGGCAACAGTCACGTGACGGTTCGTGTTGGGGTATGCTTGTTAACACGAGGTTGACTTCGATGGAAAAAGCTTGGTACCATACATTGGCAGATTTAAAAAAATATGGTGGGAACATCGGGTGAGCAAAGATGAGGTTCGTCGTCCTTGGGTGTGGATAATCAACCTCTAACAAAAGTAATAGCTCTACACCGCCTCCGATGGCTTGGTCACGTATTGCATGTCTGCCCATCGACTACTTTCCCGTGATCTCTTTGCACGTGCCGGGCAAGGCTCGAAGAAGCGCCGTGGCGGTCAAACCATGACATGGCGCAGAGGTAGAGGTCGCCCACTGAAGCGAATGGTCGACCTCCATAGATAACGTTAGTTGGGGTGTGTTACGCATTTCACCAGACAGATTGCAACAGCGAGCGATGTTCGCCGAGCCAGGAAGTGGGTGAACGAAAGCCAGGGGTGGTCAAGGCCATGAGGGTATGAAAACCCTAGCGAAGAGACTGGGTCACACAGGTCCCGTTAGGCTCTTTGGATGGGAACCTCGGGATGATCCTAACAGGTGATTGGACATTGAGTGATATGGCTGTCGTAAACAGTGGCGTTTGAGCAACTTGTCAATTTATCTGCAACATTTACCCACTGTAATTCTATATTTTCTCTTCGACCCTACTTTCAACTTCTTTCTTCTTATGTACATCCAAATGGGCTGTTAATAGTCAGTAATCAAAACCGGCGACGATAGTGCATGGTCAACGGTTGTACAAACTGAACTGAAACTGGCTTCGGTTGACCCTGCCCCCTCCCAGGTTAGGGCCCAAGGGATGAAGATTGTCGGTGGTTAGAGATGCCGAGAGATATGGCCCAGGATAGGAGTCGGTGGCGCAAATGCTGCCCGGTCTTCGTCCAGAAATCCCATGCCCCATAAAAGAAACGATAAATACACAAAGGATATCAAAAAGTGTACGGCGAATAACGAAAATTGTTTTTTTTTTGTTATTCAACTTAACCACCACCCCACCCCCGTTACACTGCTTCGTATCCTCATCCCCCATATGCTTGTTTTGGTTACGTTTGCATCAACCTTGCTCCCAAGCCGGTGGTAAATATATGTAAATCCAGAGAAATCCACGGAGGACAACCTACGGTAACATAAGAAAAAAGGACTTCTTTAGGAAATATTTTATCAATAATTACACAAACGTGAACGCAGTATCTTTCGGGATCAAGACGCCTTTTCCGTACCACCGGTGGTTTCACTCGAGTCCACAGTATCACCTAGACCGCTCTGAAAAGAAATATGAAATAAAACTGATAGATTACCTCTTTGAATCTTTCAAACACTCCACGGTACATTTTCCTTTCCTTTTCTTTTGCTTTTTGTACCATTTCTTCGCAAATACGCAACTGGTTGAGCGCAGCTGTGTTATTTGGATTATGAGCTACGATACGCTTGAAGTAAACAGCCGCATCTTCGTGATCTTTACGCAGCAAGCAAGCCTATTCAAAGTAGACTACACTACGACTTCCACGTACCTGACCCAAGCGGAACAGTGCCTTTGCATTCGAAGAATCGCTCTCTAGAACCTTTTTGCATTTTTCAGTGCAGTTTTGAGCATCTCCCAATTTTAAATAAGCCAAGGCCATGTTTAAATGAACAGCAATCATCATTTCATTGAGGGTCTTCTGCTGTTGGACACCTGAGGGGCTTATGTACTGCAAATCATCATCCAGTCGCTTGTAGAGTTCGAGTGCAACATTGAATTTGGACACCTAGGGTTGACTTCATTTGTTGAAGGCAATTACCTTCAAGAAATCATTTGCTTTGGTTTTGATCTGATTCGCAAGCTCCATCTGTTTCTCAAAATCTGTCAAACTGGAAAGATGTTTAATCTAGAAATTGACAACTCTCATGAAAACAATTACTTTTTCGAATGACTTCAGAAAAACTTCATAACTACTTTCATCAGTTGCGTCGCCTTTGGAAGAGCCCTTCTTTAACCGCACTATGCATCGCTCGCCTGTGTTCATCCGCCTCACCGCAAGATCTATACACTCAGGCACTGAGTGCTCTGCAGGGTCACCGACTATGTACGAAACGTCCTGGAAGTCACCCTCTGAAGAACCCTCACGGAAGCTTATCTCAGCAGGAAGGCCGACAGTTGGAGTAAACACATCTCTGCCCTTCACAAGCACCGATTTTCGTACCTTACCGCTATTGTCCGGAGTCACATCCACACCTGCAGCATCTCAACAACGTCAGCAAAAATACAAACCTTCGGTATCAAACAACTCTATTTCAAACTTCAAAGTCTTGCCATCCGCGTATGCATATTCAGGAGAAGCAATCAGCTCACAGATCTCACCCACTTTCATGGTAGCAACACCAACATCCCATGCTTTAATGACCTCACCTGCAATTACAATTATAGTTCGCGAAATGCGAATCGACACTGACTTTTCCCGATCTGAAACTTAAAACGCTCATTTCTATCCCGAGACGAGTCGAACTGTACACCATGTTGGTCACCACCAAAATAAGTGCCCACATAGTGCACTATCACTGTGTCACCAGGACAAGGTTTCAATTTGCTGTAACCCTCCTTAACGACTTTCTTAAGTATTCCACGGTCGTTTTTCTCGCTCAAGTCCTCGAAATCCTCCAGGTATTTGTCTCTCGATGCGTCATCACCGAGCGCGTCCATGGCACAGAAGTTGCGCGCAGGTTCGTGAAGCCAAGACGAACACCCGCCTCGAGAGTGCTCAGCTAAACAAACTAGGTCAGGTCAGGTCGGGTTGCACAGGACTGATAATGGCCAAGGCCAATCGAGCGTCCAGATTTCTTCCGGCAGTATGCTCACAAAGTGTGCACCCACCACTGCAAATTGCCTTCAGAACACGTCCTTACTGAAAGGGAAGGAAGAAGCGCGTCTCCTTTCTAGATTAACTAGATTCACTCAAATCCTGCGGTCTTAAAGTATTTCACGGTTTCGCGGTTAAGAGCAATATTTTTTGAAATGTTGCTTTCTACCGTTTCTTTTCATTTGAAGTAATTATCCAGAATTCCTGTAGTCCTGTAGTGTCTCACTTTTCTATCTACTTTTATTTGACATTATTATTATTTATTATATATTATTATTATACAACTTGTTTTAATATGCACAACAAGTAATAATACAATACGAAATT